ATGCTGGAAATTATGAAAGAATTTATTATGTTATAAAATTTAAAATCAATATTATAATTTATTTGTACACGTACAGATATCATTCGTATATCTTATCGGTTTATATGTAGACATCAATTACTATCAATTACTATATATAGGCATTAATTACTTTTCCTATTATTGTCCATTATCAAACATAATATGATATATGATATTATGAGTTTATGTTGACTAAATCGTGTACAAATATTTCAGAAGTATGGCGATGTGGAATGTTTGAAATAACATGTATATATATAATCACGATGACAATAATAATGATAACAATGAAACAGTGATAATGAAACGACCTTATTCTAGAAGATAAGAAATATGTCTATGTAATCTATAAAGTAATATAAATAAATAATATAAATAATATAAATAATATATATACATATANTATATATAATCACGATGACAATAATAATGATAACAATGAAACAGTGATAATGAAACGACCTTATTCTAGAAGATAAGAAATATGTCTATGTAATCTATAAAGTAATATAAATAAATAATATAAATAATATAAATAATATATATACATATATATATATTTATTTATTTATTTATTTATTTATATTATTTATATTATATATATATAAATGATGTAAAATAGTCGAAGTAAGAATGTCTTAAAATTAATATTAAAATTTGTTCTTACAAATTACAATATGTGTACGTTTATTCGATACAATTGATCAGCATTGATCGATAATTTTGGAATTGTGGAAACGGCGCACGAACAAATTCTTATGCCGTTTTATTTGATTCCAACGAAAATCTAATAGATGACGAACTTCATACGCCTTTGTTACGTCCCACTGGGAATCGTTTTCCACGAATTCCAATATCTAAAACAGTTTTGTTGCCGTTCCAATAAGTAATATTAATTCAACTTACTACAAGAAAACTTGGTCACGAGGTGACTTTTTCCGTAAAATTAAGATAGCACTCAAGTACACGGAATTAATTGGAAATAATTGAAATGTACATAAATAAATAAGCGTGAGATCATGAAGCTTACCTTGCCGAAATAGCATTTGGAATATAAGCTCATAATAATGTCAGCCATTCCCTGCATTTCAGTCATGTAACTGGAACGTGAAGTAATATTCGTAAGTAGACACGCAGATAAGCATGTAACCAATGTCTGAACACTTACTTAACACTTCTTATATTTTGGTCCTTAAATACGAATATTTAAATTTCCAATGTACAATATATAGAGTGTAAAATTAAAAATGTTACAGACTATTATTCCTAAAATTAAGCGAAATAGGAAATTTTGATTTTTTATCAACCATTTAGTTCGAAGTTAACATCATATGATAAAGTTAATTTTTTCCTAGGTAAAGGCGCTAAAGTCACTTGCCAATATTATACACTTTTTAATAAGTATATGATTATAACACGTCTTTTAATGATCAATTACATATGTAGTATTACATCGAATATACATATACGTATATTCTATGTTGGAAGTTTAAATATTTGTATTTAAAGCCCAAACTGTAAAAATGTTTAGGGTTAGATGCGTGTCCAGATATTGACACTTTTACGTTGCATAATTTCAAACATGAACATTAACAATAAACAAAAAAAATTTACCCTTGCATTATTTTATCAAAATTGTGCAGGATTAAATCGAGGACTTGAGGTTTTCTGGCGTGCTTCTTCACAATGCCGTGGTATAATTTCCTTAGCTGCGCAGGTTCCACTTCTTTCCATTTACCAACAGATCTGTCTGCGATCAATGTCACTAACTTTTGCAGCAAGTGGTCGTCTTCAATGCAGTCCATGTGTTGCAACAATCTTTCTTTCTTTTCTTGCACGGTGTGATTCAAAATTTTATGTAAAACGGTCTCGTTCTTCGCGTTCATGAGACCCGTACAATATATCAAATTTTCCCACCACGGCAAAATGCTACGGGCAAGAAAAAAAAGCAAATAAAGAATTGTAAATGAAGAAATGTTCAACCCTCAACTTGACTCTTATGGGCCAAGTAACAAATTTTTTCGTATTGTAATTATAATTCATACTGTCATATTTTTCGTATTGACTCATGTCTTTGAAACTATTATATAGAAATCTCGATGGTTTGGGTAATTACGTGTTGTTCTTAGGATCGTCGATATGTGAAATCAGTTTATGATGGGCCCGCTTCTTGCATTCAACATGGCCGTGTTTACAAGCCCAATTCAGGAGTAACAGTCGCATAGCTTTCAACTTGTCATCGTCCTTAGAATCTTCATCATATCCGATTGTCGTCAGAACCTCATCAATAACGTCCAACGTGATTTCCTGGGCAAATCGGTAAATATCAGTGCTTTGTACGTTTTATACATCACGCATGAGCTATTTCGTAAATTTTACACCTGAGAATCGCCTATAAGTAAGCTAGACGCTTCGAACGTCGCAGTACCAAGCAATATTGGTCTTTGTTACTAGTCTGAATATAAACTCGATACTTTGTACGTGATTTCGAGCTATTTCTGTTTTTCATTAGGTACCTTAAACTCGCTATTTCTGTTTGTCATTAGGTACCTTAAACTCTGCACTTTCTGGGAAATTGAGAAATGGCGATATATAGTGCAGAACGTTCATCATACTATGCCATACTATGAAATTCGTTTCATCCCGCAAGTATTCGACCAGTGTCAAAAAGAGTTCGTAATTCATCTTGTCCGATAACACCAAGTGATATGCATCATCGATAATCTGAGCACGATTCAGAACGGGTATTGTCGTAAAATCATGGTTATTCAGATAATATATAATTTTAAACCACATCTCATAGGTATAACTGGTGCGATAGAAGCCTGTTATAGAAACAAAGAGTAAGTTTTACCAATTGTACATGACTATTGTTGGTTGTTGTAATGATTATTGTAATGATCGTTGTAATGACCCTTTTCTTTGATGAAAACGGACGAACGACCAGTACTCACCGAGTTGCCGTGCGTTAAATATGAGAAAAGTTTCTGGATTAAATATTTTTGAACGATTCTCCTTATTGTCCAGATAACTGTACTTTCGCGATGGATTATTATTATTATTGATCCACGTTATGGAAAAACCTTGTCTGTGAAAAAGTTTTTTCCTGTTAACATTTAAAAATGTAACAGGTATCGGCCATTTGATATATTTTTTATTGACAATTCTTGCCGTCTGATATACAGTTATGTTGCCGTCATAATTTTGTTTTACAAACAATGTCGGATAGTGACTTTGCGACAGCCAGATGTTTATTACGTTTGTTATGTTGTGATCGCGTCTTGTCTGTAATTGATGCATCTCACTCTCCAGGATTCTCCAGAAATCGTTTGGTGCGGCAGAGCCGTAAGCACTGTATAAGTAAAATATTCCTTGTAATACCGATCATGCGAACATTGAAATAATATGATAGCTTGAGATTGTAAATAACTACTTGTTACTTCATTTATTTCTTTTACCCATTAATGCACCTACTCAATAATACTTATTCACGCAAAAATTCAAGGAACGTAAAATATGATACGTTCGGATTGTAATTTAGCGTAAGATTGCGATTATACAATAGATCGCGTATTTGAATTGGTAAATTTTTATAAATTTGTATAAATCACGCATAATTGTAAATTACACACTACATCGCATTGTAAAGCAATACTTACTATGCCCTTAAGTACTGGGCAAAGGCTTGCTGCAACACTTTCTCTGTGACGATATGTTCCAACATCCATATTATAGCAGATGCTATATCATTTATAAAAAAATGAAATAGACAAAATAAATTTGACATTAATTTTTGAATAAATTTAATGTAAATTGTAATCACGCACGCACGCACGCACGCACGCACGCACACGCACACACACATGCGCGCGCTATTGCCTATATAGTGGATGAATGAATATTAATTGTGAAACTAAATGTGTTCTTTCCACGTTGAACTAATAAAATTGGATTCAAATAACCCCTTGCCATATCATTTAACTCGGAAGAATTCGGGCCCAAATATGAATGTCTCAAATGGAGTTTTTTGTCCGAGCGCGCACCCGAATGGTCGGGAAAAGATTAGGACAAAAGACCCTATTCGAGACATTCATACTTGGCCCGAGATTAAGACCACGAGTTCGACTCGTGATATTTATGTTTGGTTCGAAATGTCGA